ATAACTGTCCCGCTATCAATGGACTAATGTAACCCATCTGCTGTTCATTTCTGCAAATTAGTTTATGGAGGAAAACCTGATTGCACTTTTAAGCTATCCAGATGGAAACTCTAAGTTTAGAGTTTCCATTCTGTTATGGATATAGGTACATTCCCAGCACTTTTTAAGATTTTTCAAATGTATAGAGAGAGTCTCTGCTTTTGGATTATTTCCTGAAATGTTTCCTGTGCATTCAACTATATTGTAGGAAATAAAATGTTCAGTGGTAGGAAAGTAATGGGATCATTGATTTCCTAATTGTCTCGCAACAACTTTTGAGGAATGACCCTGCGCTAGTCACGACCTTTGACCTTTGGCATTGTCAGTAATAAAAATGAATGAGAAAAAAAATTCTCAGTTCTCTTCATCTGAATCTAGAGGTAGGTAAGTTCTTGACTGCACTGTAAGTGCTCCGAGAGAGGAATGGACTAAACACCAAGACAGGCCTAGGCTGAGGGCAGGAAGTGGAGGAGGTAAGGGGGGACGGGCTTCACAGGGAACAAAAACACTGAGCTGAGTCTCGAGGAAGAATGGGGTCAGCCCTGTGTGCAGTCATGAAGCACTTCACAGAGGAAGCCAGATCCCACATGGCTGACTGTGGTTTAAATCTCTGGCAGGGCAGGGCAGCTTAGAAAACATGCCAGGTACATGTGTGTGCATGCCCCAAATATTGACAGGGTGGAGGGATGGAGGAAAGACAAATGCAGTGTGCCCCACTAGGGACGGGGTTGGGAGTGCTTTCTCTCTCTCTCTGGCAAGTGTATGTGCCCTCTGACAATAAAGAGAAATCATAACAAGAATTAATCAAATCTATCAAGAGATAGCCATTGGAATGGACCACCAAATTCATTTCAATGACAATCACTGCCTTAGCCACAAGATCATATACATAGATGCATATGGGAAAAGTCATGATGTGTTTTTCTATGTAAAAATGCATCATGCATCATGACTTTTCTGATATATATATAGATATATCACAAATATATCTATATATATCAGAAATATATATATATACACATATATATGTGTGTGTGTATATATATATATACATATCACAACTTACTTTTATAGAGATTTGAGCAAAACTAAGCAAAATAGAAAGGCATATATTTCTACCTCATTGGTCACAATAACTTTCTAAAAGCTCATGCATTTTGATGGCTAAGATTAATGAGACCACATAGTGTTAAGCACCTTGGACTTTGAGAATAAAGGCCTTTTAGAAGAAAAAGCATCATTATTAATGACACATCATTTAGTTTTCATCAGTAATGTAAGGTTTCAGCCACTTTAATGGGAACTTAGTTAAGAGCTCAATGTAGAGGGCAAGGCTATTAGCTAGAGTTCTTGACAGTAATATGTTTGACTTCTAAGGAAAAAGATAAATCACACTCAAATTGATCCAAAGGACGAGCTGAGGGGTTCAGAAGGAGGTGAGCCACCATCCGCTGGCTCTGAATTTCTCAAAGGCCTTGTCATCCATGAGACCTGCTAGTGAGCCCTGTCCTTGGGATGGCCTCGTTGGTTGCAGTCCCCTGTGTTCTCAGCACCCTGCTAGACTAGGAAAATGCCTTGTGCTCCAAACCTCACCTTTCCCTAGTGTTCTCCTTCTCCTATCTCTCTACCACCACCCCCAACTGTATACGTTGGGTGCACCAGAATTTTTCTCTGGCCAATGTAAGATTGGATAGCTAAATATCAATACATTAAGTAAAGGAATGACGGCATACTCCCGTGACCTGATTGGCTCAAGTACCGCTAATGATGGCAAGGTGGCTAGGTTGTGTGAAATATTGCCCCCTAAATACACATGCTTAGTCTTACCTGGAAATTAAGGAGGGTCCCTATACAAAACATCAATATTGACAGAAATTTTTGCAACTTCTTTATAAAGAACTGCTCTTCTGAAAGATTTCTTTGGGGTCTGAATGTGTTTTGGTCAGTTTCACTAAGGCCTTCCTTCATGACTTAAAGGCGTTGCTTCACTGGAGGAGAGTTAAGAAAAATTCTCTTGGCTAAGATTTTTAAAATTTGCCAACTGAAATCAGCCAGCTCTGTTTTGAGAGAAAGAGAGAGAGAGAAATCCTGCAACATAAGTAAATGTCCACTAAAAATAAAGGAAGAGGGAACTTACTTTTATTACAGTAAGTGATGATTGACACCCAGGGGCACATGGGGAAGTGGTGGGTGTCCAACAATGGCCTCTGAGAAGTTATTCAGGATTGTTGAGGTCTCTGAGGACAGGAAGAGGACAACAGACAAAGGGAGGCAGAAAGGGTTGTGGTTCTATATTATGACATTTGCTAAAGGAAACTCCAGACTATTAGTGAGCTTTTATTTTCAACAATGGCATAGTCAGCAAATTATGAATTTAGGTGATTTGATTGTGGAGACATCTAGAGAATCTTTCTTGTTATATTATCTTGTTTCGGGAGCTCTCACTGACTGTGTTCTCTTTGTGCTTTTGCTTTACAAACGAAGTTGAACTTTATTTTCAGTCCAGTTGTTGAGGTCTACTCTTCTGTCTCACTCCTAGAAGACATACCTCTTGCTAGGGAACATTTACTGTGTAAATTCAGGCCTAACTTGGATACTGAGACAGCAGGCAAAATACAGGGACCATGGCAGGAAAATGTTCACTACTGCTTAGTAGTCCAAAATATCTGAAAAATAATTGCAACTTATAATTTGAGTAAAATACAAGAAGACTGCTATAATTACATTCTTCCGTAACTTTTTCCTTCAAAAAATTTTTTTAAGGTTTTTGCCATAGGGCACATTTTCTTGCTGGAGAGAGACAGACAGACACTGAGAGAGAAAGTGAGAAATCATCCCCTTGGGGGATGGCCACATTGCAATCCCATCTCCTCCATTCTCTTCCTGGGATCCTGTACACACATGCACAAGCAACCACTGTGATTTTCGATTCATTAGGTCCACGACTCGAACTGTGGTCAGCCATGTAGCAGCCCCGTGCCTTAACCACTATGCCACAGCTAACCCCTTCATAACTTTTAATACTAAAAGTTTAAAAAATTGACCATAGTTACCAAGTTCAAACAGTAGTTGAGGATCATCTATTGATAGTTCATATACCTGTTGTTGATTTAAGTTCAAACTCTACTTTAGAAAGTTAAAAATAAAAGTTGGTTAACTAAGCCTTGTTCTGAAAGATGATTTTCCTCCTGCAATATAAATCTGTTAACAAATGACAAAAGGGTTGGTTCTGTGTTCCTTTAAGAGCATAGTTCACAAGAATTACACCAACTTGATAACAAAGGTAAGGCAAACATAACCTTTATTCCCATTCAAAAACCCAGAGAATAGGGCCTGGAAACTGTTTATCAGTTTAACCAGAATACTTTACGTTTTGTGGTCTTATTTAAAATTTTATAGCAATAGATTATCAGTTCTAAAAATGGTGGCAAAATACATGGTTACTCTCAACTACATAGTAAAAAAAAGTAAAATCATTTAGCTAACATAACAAGGTTGGGGTAATGAACTGGTTAATCAAACATTCATAGCATAAATAACTCTATGTATATACAATGATCATGTTTTCATAGCTTAAAATCACAATATATAATCTGACAATAAAATTGTGCTATATTTGAGTGTTGGGAAGCCAACACACAGGAATTACTGAAGTATTTTTTGGTATATGTCAATAATACACAGACTCTTAAATTAAAATCGTCCCAGAAGTTCCAAGACAGGTGTCAACAATGGGTATGGTGTCCATTTGTAAGTATTTTTTTAAATAATTTTAAAAAAAATTAACTTTATTTATTTATTTATTTATTTATTTATTTATTTATTTATAATTTGACAAGAGAGAGGGGAAGTGAAAAGGCAAGCTGCAGTAACAGGAAAGTAACTGTAATAGCAGTTTTTTCAGAATTCTGTCTGAAAAATACCAACTAACTGTTAGTTCTCGGTAAATAAACTGGTAACATGATACAATTGTGTGTTCTTATTTTGCCAGAAAATATGAATTTTTAGAATAAGTTCATGCCCATCAGAATTTTCGTCAACAGTTAGCATTATCTCAAACGTTCAAATGATCTTAAGGTTCTAGTTTACATGTAAGACTATATTCCTCAACATCATTCAGAATTGATGATGTGTTTCATTTGTGAACATAAACTTTTTTTTGAAATTCAAGGGGAAACATGAATGAAAACCTTTTACTCTAAGAATAATAATAATAATAAATAAAGGATGAGCCAGAAGTCAGGAGAAATAGATAGGACTTTAGGGAACTTACTTTCCAAGATCCTTGCCCGTTCTCTGGTTCTAAGTTTAAAACATTCCTTCTGAGCTACACAAACTGGACCTGCATTTTCAAGTTCCTCCACATTATCTGCCAAAGTGTGTACACTTTATACTCAAATACTAAATGGATCGATACAAATCCTGTTCTGCAAAGCTGTATGCCAACTAATTTTCTAGAAATAGCAATTCCCCGCCCTCCCTCCATTCCTTGCCTAACTCACAAGTCTGAGGGTGTGTGCAATGTTCAAGGTGGAGTGCTAGTCTAAACTTACCTCAGTACTGTCACTGCTCCTGGGAACAAATAACGATCTGAAAAACTGGACTCAGGTGCCTGCTTCAGGCCCAACCAGATCAGGGCAGAAGTTCTCACCTCACATCTGAGGGAATACAGGTCTCTCTACAGGTGCTTATTTCAACACAGCTTCCAGGCTTTCCCTGGGCCTGGTCGTGTCAGGATCTCTGGGGAGCGGCCTCTAGATCTATTTCCATTTTAAAGAAATATGTTTCCCCCCCACACCCCTTCATTCCTCTGCAGGTTATTTGTGGCTTCATTCTCTATCCCACCTTGCCCCAACCCCCCCCCCAAAAAAAAAAGAAAAAAGAGGACCTGTGCACTGTAGTGGGAAAGCTCTAGACTGAGTCGGGAGCTGAGTGCTAGCGGCCTGATCTTGAGTGAGTTATCGAACATCTCCAGGTCACTCATGTCTATCTCATAGGGGCTATTCGAATAGGAGTCTCTACTCCCCCTTCCACTCTCAAATGCTCGACTTTAAGAACCTAGTATATCACGTACTGCATGCCTTTGAGAAACCATATTGCCTGCTAAAGAGATGCACGTCAATTAAATGTAAGAAGTCATACACGAAAAAAAAAAAAATTAACAGAAGGAAGAAAATGGAGAACATCTGAAAAAAGACCCTAATATGCCAACCCCCCGAGTCGTGAAGGAGATGGGGAGAATCTGCAGTGATGTTTCACTTCCCAGCAAGAGTCTGGAAGCCCCCAGAGAACAGAGGTAACTCCTTTCCCGGGCCTGCTCATCCACGGTGAGGCGGGAAAAGCAGGGTGAAATTGGAATTGGTAAAGGGAGAGGGGGAGACGCCCAAAGACACTTGTAAGGCTTTTGGCAACAGCAAGAAAGGGCCTTGGAAGGCTGGCGTCACTGGTCGTCGTCGTCGTCCTGGTCCTGGTAACGAATGTAGACGACCAGCATGACAAAGCCGGTGACGATACAGAGAGAGCCAACGACCAGGTAGGTGATGCCCAGGAAGGGGTTCTTGCCGCCCATCCACGAGATGCTGCTGAAGATGAGGCGCTTGTGGCCGCCGAAGGCGCGCACCGGGTAGTTGTAGGCGATGCGGACGCAGTAGGCGCCCCGCGGCAGGCCGGCCGAGTAGTTGCCCTGGCGGATGCGCGCGTACAGCTTGCGGAAGGTGGGCAGCGCGGCCGTGCGCATCCACACCACGAAGTCCTGGTTGATGAAGCCGGTGTTGTTGGGGTCGCTGCTGAGCTCGTAGACCGGCCGGTGCCAGTTGGGCGGCGGCACCGTGCCCTGGAAGGCCAGCGCCAGGCTGCCGTTCACCAGCGGCGGGTTGCGGAACTTGACGTGGTAGTCGGTCCACCAGGCGATGCCGCTGCGGTCGAGCGGCACGTCGACGTAGGGCCCGCCGGGCTGGCGCTGGTGCCGAAGCGAGAAGGATTTGTTGAAGAGGCTGTTGGCGATGGCGCCGCAGGGCGCGATGGGCAGGCCGGCCGCGCTGCGCTGGTAGGGGGCGCACTCGTTGACCGGGTGGCGCAGCGCGCTGGGCAGCCCGCTGAGCTGCGCGTCGTCGCGGGACACGCCGTAGCGCCGGTTGTTCTGGTAGAAGTTGGACAGCTCGTAGTACAGGTACACCGGGCCCGGGAAGGGCTCGGGCAGCGAGAAGCACCAGTCGCACGAGCAGTTGGGCCGCGGCGCGCGGCTCTGGAGGGCCAGGGCGCACACGGAGCAGTTGCCGGTGCCCGGGTTCCCGGTGTAGTCGTACTCGAGCTCCTTGATCCCGTTGGACGAGTAGTACAGGCCCAGGCCCAGGCCGATGAAGGCCAGGCCCACGCAGAAGAAGAGCGGCAGCGTGATGCTGGCGGACAGCAGCGGCTGCCAGGCGGGGAGGCGCTGCTGCGTGAACGCCGTGTTGTCGGGCTGGTGGGCACCCGGGGCGGTGGCGCTCCAGGTCATGGCGTTCTCGCCGGGACAGCCGCGCAGAGCGACCGAGAGTTGCCCGGGTGGGGGCCACCGCGGGCTGCCTCCCACTCCGCGCCGGGAGAGCCCGGGAGCTACTCCCCGGGTCAGGTTTCCCGCTGGCGCTGGAGGACTTTTGCCCTGTTCCCGCCCCCGCCTCCCGCGCAGGTGAGCCTCAGTTCCAGGTTCTGCGCGCAGGGACCCAACTGCCCAGTTCCGCCTCGGCGTAGGTGCTCCTGGCCGGCTCTGCCTTAGGTGATCCCGGCTCTGCCGTAGGTGATCCTGGCGAGTAACCGAGCGCCGCGCCCGACCCCTTCCGAGGTGAACCTGCGGGATGTACCGTACTCACCTGGCGGCCGCAGGCAAAAGTTTCCACTCCGTCCGGGTCAGTCCCGATGCCAGCTCCTCCTCCAGGTGAGTGGCAGCTTCAGGCTGCCTCTGAATGGCTCATACCTTGCTCAGGTACCACCTTCCCTTCCGCCTTCCAGGTGACTGGAGAGCCTAGGCCATTTTCTCCCGAGGTCGCAGGAGCTGCAGCCTCCCCTTGAAGTCCACTGCGGGACAAGCCCCTTGGGGGCATGAAGATTTCAGGTCGTTAACCTTTTATCTGGGAGCCAGAAGGTAACTCTAGACACCTTTATGTAGGTTAATTTATCGATCCTCTTTCATAGAAAAGCTACAATTCGTGGCTTTCTACCACAAGCTGTAGTGCCCAGGGAATTACATAATGGTAAAATGGGTTGCTAATTCAATGCCTACGTCCAAATCTAGCTTTTGTTTTGTTTTGTTTTAAAGGAAAAATTGCTTTCTGGCCATATGCCCAGTCTGGCTGTATAACTAAAAAAGTAGAAAGATCTCTAAAAATAAAATGGTCCTTAAAAAATAGAACCAAAGACTGAAGAGGTTTTGAGTCTTTAAATCTCTCCCTAGCTAGTGGAGAAACCACACAAGGAGAAAAAAAAAAAAAAGTGCCAGATTGCCTGTGATTTCTTTTCCTTTTCAGATCATTTTCCTGACTGGAGAAAGGCCTGGCCCATGGTCCCAGGAGACCTAGTTGCTATCCACAGTCAAGATGTTTGGAAAGTTTGGCCTAAAGATATGAACAAGGATGAAGGGGCTACTGAGAGAGAACTCAGATTTCCTCTGAACATTGCCTAGGAATCTGGCCTTTGTTTCTAGGTTGGTATAACACACACACACACACACACACACACACACACAACGGTTCAGCTTTGTGCTATAGCCTCCCTAGTGCCCAGGTGTTCCTGTCTCTCCAGCTCATAAAATGCTAGAAACTTAAATGCATTCTGTATTAAACTTCTTCAACTATCATAATATATTGCATTTAGGAGTCATTCAAAACCCATCAAAACTTATAAAATGAAAATGCTTGTTAAACAGTAGAAGTGTTTTTTTGTTTGTTTGTTTTTAGTATCTTCCAAGTGTTCAGCCCTTCACTAAGCAATATAAAAGACAGAAAAAAATGGATTAACAGTGACTCTTGACCTCAAGGCATTTGCAGTCTGATAGGGGACTTATTACTTAGGAGTAAGAAATAATAAAAAAAGAGTCAACTGACATCATACAATCAAGTACAGACTTGTGTGTTAGAAGAGTGACAGTAAAATTAAAAAGTAATATTTTAATAAAGAAAAATTGATTCCATTTTCTTGAATGAATGCAGGCCTGTAGCTTTGGCTGGAGAATACTGAAAGACCCAAGGAACTCAGATCCTGCTTCCCCCACTTTTTACCATACTCCAAGAGAGGAAATCCCAGCACTGTCAACAAGTTCCCATAGTGTGATCCATTCTTCACTACCTTTTCAATAAAGTGAAGAATAAACAGTTGTCTAAATGTTGTAGTTGAGTTCCACCAACTCCTGTATCATTAAAGCGTCAGTCTATCTGATGCAAGTTTGCAAAATAGTCTTCAGGAAGGAATTCAGATCTCAAAACTTTGGTGATTGTAAGTCTAATATCCGTATTGCCACCAAATTCCTAGTTTTCCTGTTCAGGTCCTAGTCTTTCCAAGTCTCCTCTCCCTGGATGACCTGAGGCATCAGTTTTTGTTCTGTTACCTGAGAAGTCTACAAGTCAAAGTGAAGACTCTTTTTTCTTTTCTTTTTTTTTTTTTTGTGTGTGTGTGTGTGGAGAGGTTTTTACTATAGGGCGTGTGCACTTGCCAGAAAGACAGAGACAGACAGAAAGTGAAAAATCACCCCCCTGGAGGGATAGATATGTGACAAACCCTTCTCCTCCATTCTCCTCTCAGGATCTTGGGCGCACACGCACCCAGCGTGAGTTTAAGCCACCGGGTCCGGGACTTGAACCGCGGTCAACTACATGGGAGTCCAGCAACATAGCCATTACGTCAACTGCTGGTCCCCAAAGAGACTATTTCAAGACAGGGAGTAGTCAATAGGATTAAATACATCTGAGTGTTAAAGTGAGATAAATGAAAAGGAGGGGCCAGCAGGTGGCCCACAGTTCGAGTCTTGGACCTGGTGGCTTAAATATTACACTGGGCATGTGTGTGTGCATGCCCAAAATATCAAGAGAAGTATAGAGGAAGAGAAGAGATGACTGTATGGCCATCGTTCCCAGGGGTGATTTCTCACTTCTCTCTGTCTCTCTCTTGAGCTCACATGTCCTATAGCATACATGCATGCACACAAACACAAGAAAGAGAAAGGAAGGAAGGAAGGAAAGAAGGAAGGAAGAAAAAGGAGCCATTGGATTTGATTTCTGTGAAAGCATGTTGGGTGGTGGGGTGGGAGGAGTCAGATGCAGGAAAGGGGAAGTAGAGGCAGCCAGTGTAGGACAACTCTTTTTAGTAATGATGGGGAGGGGCCAGATGGTGGCACTGTGGTAACAATACTCTGCAGTGCTGGACAACACGGCAAGGTCTGAGATTCACATCCTAGCACATGCCAGGTACTCACACACATGCCTGTCATCCAGGCTGGCTGAGGCGGCAGATAAATCATGGTGTGGGGACCCTGTGGGGGGTTCCTCTCTCTTTCTCTGCATCTCAGAGGGGATAAATGTGTGGGAATGGAAGGAGAATGTTAAGTGGTAATGATCTGGGAGAGCACACATCCTAAAGGAAAGGTTTCTTTATAGATGACAGATAGATACTAGTGCAGGTGACGTTGAAGGGGGTGACAAGCACATGCACTGTACAAAGAGGAGCAGCTGGAAGTTCTGATCCTCTGACCAGATCTGTCAGTCCCAGAGAATAAATACAGGTTTATCTCTCCTCCCCTGAAATGGGAGGGCAAGGTGTGAGAATGGATACAGGATGCAACTGGGCTCTGGGCTCAGCTTGAGGGAAAGTTTTCATTTAATATTTTTTTTTTCCTGTGCAGTAGAAAACCAGGTCATCTGTACTGGGGAGAAGGGGGAAGGAAGTCTAAGACTTGGGAGAAAACAGCAGTTAGCATAATGGCTATGTCGCTGGACTCCCACGTAGTCGACCGCAATTCGCGTCCCGGACCCGGTGGCTTAAAACTCATGCCAGGCGTGTATGCGTGCGTACCCAGGATCCGGAGAGGAGAATGGAGGAGAAGGGATTGCAGCGTGACCATCCCCTGGGGGGTGATTTCTCGCTTTCTGTCTCTATGTCTCTCTCTGTCTGTCTGGCGAGCGCACACACCCTATAGTGAAAATCTCTCAAAAAAAAAAAAGACTTGGGAAGATTGAGAGCAGGGGTGAGGGAACTGACCAGAGACACATGGAGGAACTTGGGTGACTTTGTCTAGGGGAATCCTATCTCAGGCTGGGAAAGGCAAAGGACTGAGTGTGCCCAGTTTAGGGGGGTTTTTAGGGCAGGTGAATTGGAAAGATAAAACTTCCAGATATAGGCCTTGTGAAGGGGTGCCTAATGTGATAGGCCTTAGTGTTTAAGCAAAGGAAATGAAACCGAGCTGGTGTGTCAGAAGGAAATCAAAGTACCCATAGACTGGGGGTCCTAATGATGGCCACAGACAGGTGGCATGAAAGCCGGGGGGGGGGAAGGCCACTGGTATGAGATGGGATGTTACAGATCATGGGAGTGAGCACTGAGATCCACGTGTGTGTCATGTGTCCTCCACCAGCTCATAAGTTCAAGAGATGAAGGCAGTTACATGTCATTGTGTCCCTTGGAGCCCATTGAATACCGAGGGTTCTGACCTCATGTCTTTCTATTGTACATGTTATTATGATGTGTAAAAGGACACTTGGAACATGTAAACACTTTTCAGTACCAATAAAGTAAAGAAACGAGTTCATTCTAAACAATTCTCTATTGCATCCGTACTATTAAGAGAACTCAAAGGGAAAGAAAAAGGCATTTCTAATCCAAATACTTCTACAGTCATGTCATGCTTCCATTTTATCTTCTGGATTTTATCCATACAAATATTTTTAATTGGTCGTAATGATGATAAAATACAATCATTGCTATACTACTTGTCAGATTATCTCCTTATATAATGAGATGAAAAATGAAGTACATATTTGCCATGTTTCTTTGTGTTCTTCGCAATTTTTTTCTTTAATTGCTGGAGGATATATGTGTTTGCTGGAGAGAGACAGAAAGAAGGAGAAAGCACCCTCCCCAATGGGGCATGGTTGTACTGCAATCTTTCTTCCTGCAATTCTCCATCCTCTGTAATTTTGGGGATGCATATATGCATATAAATATCTGATATGTCTTTTCAGCCAGTGGGAGTTGGAATTCAAATTGTGGTTAGCCATGTGGGATCTGACTTCTTTAATCACTAAACTATGGGACCAGCCCATCATTTTTTGATGGTTCCATTATTCATGGGTCTATCATATTTAACTAATCTCCTATTGTTGGATATATTGATTAATTGAGTACCTTCTGTGGGCTGGTCATTTTAAGCATTATACATGTATTATCTTGTCTAATTCACACCACAAATCAGGTGGTCAGTAGAATAATCATGCCCAGGCCTTCTCTGTCTCCTAGTGGTTAAGGGAGCTGGATTCTACATGGCTCACCATGTGGTTTGACTTCCAGTTCAAGTGGCTTGAAAAACATGGCTGCCACAGGTGTGTGCATGCCCCAGATCCTCACAATATG